GTGAGGGGTGATGTTTTTTGGTGCTAAATTTGGGTGGGATATAAGAAGATGATTTAACAATGGATTTTAGTGATGGATGATTTTTTTTTTTCTAATTTTGATATTTTATTAATGAATGATGGTTTTCGTCGCTAATTAACAAAAAAAGTTCAAATTTAAAATCAAACAATGACGGGAACTTATCTTTAATGCCAAGCTCAATTCTATTGCTAAAAGTTGAAAAAATGGCATATTTTTAAAAAATCAAACAAAGACTTATGACGTTTTTTGTCACTAATTTTGAGATTTTAGCGACGGGTGATGTTTTTCGTCTCTGATTAAGAGAAAAAAATAACCCAAATTAAAATCAAACGGTGACATACTTAATTCATTGCTAAAAAGTATATAAAAAAAAGATGAATATTTAAAAATCAAATAGCGATGAATGATGCTTTTTTGTTGCTAATTAAGAGAAAACATGGCTCATTTTAAAATCAAACAACCACAAACACTTATTTTTGATTCCATTGCTAAAAAAATTCATAAATCTCGCAACATTTTCTCCTTCGTCAATTTCTTCTCCTTCCCCATTCTAGCTACCTCTTTCCCCTTTCCTTCTTCCTCCGACAATCTCCTCCATCGACCATGCGCCTTCTCCTTTTTCACCTTCCATTTTTCGGTTCCTCTCCTATTTTCTAGTAAGTGTTTGTATTTTTTTAATTTATTCAATAATAACTATTTTTTTTTTTAGGGTGGAGCTCTAGTAGCCTCTTCTTTTTTTACTCCTTTTCCTCATTCTAGGTGCATTTTTAGTTTATTTATTTTTTAATTTTTAATTAATAATGTTTATTATTATTGTTTTCATTAGTTATTATTTTTAGTCTAATGTATGCTATTTGATGTTAATTATTTATAAATCTAATTATTATTGTTAATTAGTTATGCTAATATAAGTTAATTTATGTACTTAATTAGTTGAGATTTTATTTTTTTGCATTTTTTTATTTTTTTCCTTATTTTTATTCTAGTTTTACATGTTTTTTATTTGTATTTCTATTAGTTAATTAGTTATAATTAGTTGTTGTTTATCATATACTTATTTATGTCTATTAGTAGTGAATATAATAATTTAATTGTAATTAATATTTTTATTAGTTGTTAATTAGTTGTTAATTAGTTGTGATTATTAATTTTATTACTTTTTTTATTAGAAAAGAAATTTTTTATATTAATTTATTTGTTTTTGGGTTAGTTAATTAATATGACATATTTAATTTATTATTTTTTATTTTGTAACACCAATATCCGATGGCAAAACTTTAGGCACTACAATCTTCTCTATGGAAGGTACTTCTATCAATACAAGTTTTTTATTTATCCATTTTTTAATTTAATTTGAATTTTAGCTAATATGTTAATTTTATTTGATATGATTTAAGTATAGTTATAGTTAAATGTTATATTTAAAGAATTTTGAAGTGTTCAATCATCAATTAGGATGACACCTCGGCGATATGATGTCGCGAGAGAAATTTATTAAAAAGGTATAAGGTTGGTGTCAATGCTTCGTGATGAAGTTGAGAGGATGAGAATAGTGCTATCGTTTTTTAGTTTTTAATTCGAGATAAATATCAATCCCGGTGTGATATAATTGTTTGTTTACATGGCATGTTTATGAATTATTTGGTATACTATGTAATATGATAATTTAAAATACTTTAGATTTATTTGCATGTTGATATTGCTAGTTAAGGATCCCTATATATAGAAGGATTGTAATGTATGAGTTGTGTATTTTGGATTTTTTTTTTTTTTTTTTTTTTTTTGTAGGTGGAGTCTTCAATAATTAAAAAATATCCAATTGTCGGGAGAGGCTTTGTCGAAGTTTTGTTAGATTTTTAGAAAAAATGTATAAAACCTTGAAATTATGTCCTCTACATAATTGAAAAATATGGTAATTAATTAATTGTGTGTTGGCTTGGATATGCGAAGGAAAAAATGAGGTCGAATTGAGCATGAATTGACTTTAGATAAATACGGATGACACAACAATCGTTATGAGAGATACAAACCCACATTGATTTGCCCATCCCTCCTCCTCACCCTTCCGCTACCCAAGCAACCATAGGATGATGATGATTGTATATACTATTTTTTTTGTAGTTTTTTTTTTTACTATTTTTGTACATTGGAACGTATTTATATATTTTTTATTATTTTTATTTAACATTATAATATTTCATATTATAGTTTTATTTTTAGTTGTTTGCTACTACAATTAAACATTAAACACCTAATAATGAATTAAAAAAATTACATTTCCTATATTAGCGACGAATCAATGACCAAATAACGATAGAAAAAAAGAATATATTACATGCCTTTTAACCACGAAAATTTACCGTAGGTTAGTTAGTGATGGAAATTTAATTTGATGAAATTAGAGACGGAATCGACGTTCAACAACTTTTTCATCGCTAATGTGATGAAATTAGTGACGAGAATAAATTTTTCATCGCTAATAATTTAGCAACAAGGCTTTTAGCGATGGATTTTTTTCGTTTCTAATCTGTCGATAAATAAGATTAATGACGAGAATATATTGTTTTAGCGATGGATTTTTTCGTCGCTAATTAGCTATTTTTTTGTTGTGCATTCCTTGACAAATCAAGAAATTTAATGCTTTGCAAATTAACAATCAATTATGGTATTGACCCGAATAAAGCACTAGAACTCAAATTCGTCTTTCATATTTGATATCGCCACCTACAACAAGTGCTACCTTTATAGCAACACTAATCAACCATAGTAAAAGTAACAAAAAAGAAAAAAGAAAAAAACACAAACCACTAGTAATGTTAGTAAGAGCAACCACTAGCAATGGTAATGGCAACAACTGCAGACCACCAATCTACGACAACAACGACAACAATGACGGAGACAACAACAATAGCCATCAACTACAACAAACATGACTCAAACTTGAAGAAACTAGGTAGGAAACATTCGTGACATTTCCCGAGCCCGATAAGATGATCTTTCCAACCAAACAAATTCGTATAACAATTCAAAATTCGAATCCTATAACAACAATAATTCGGCCCACACGGCCCAACCCATAAATCACTTCACAAATTCTACAATCACACAAATAACACAATTCAAACTTAATTTTCTTCATAATTCCTTCACTTCCTCAATAACCAAACAGAGTGTATTAAAAAAAAAAAAGTTAAAAACTTGTTACCATTTATGAGACGAATTTACATTAATTTTTCTTCTCTTCAATAAATCCATGTAAAACGACGAGCTTTGTGAAAATGCAACGATCGTGAAACCACTACAACATCAATTAATTAATTCAAACTATAGTATCTTTGATTGTGAGAGTTTATGCTTGCTCTCCTTCTAATAATTCATCTTGGAGAGTTTTGGACATTGATTCCTATTGAATGTGAGAGCGTCAGAGAGTTTTGAGAGTTAGAAGCAAAAAATTTTATATATAAAATAACGAGTTTTATGGATTTAGATTTTCTTGAAAGAGAAAATAGGCTTGAGGATGAAAAAAAGGAGAAAAGAATGCAAAATGATTTCTTTTGAGGATAATAGGTGGACAAAGTTATCTTTTTGTAGTATTTTTTTATACTAAGTATTACTTTATTAATTAAAATGTTTTAAATATATATTTTTTTCAATTCCGGATGGAGAAATTGTTATTTGGGACTTCTTACGTTACATGTATTTTAGTTATTGATTGTGGTTAACTTTAACTTATCACGTCGGATAAATAGTTAACGATGTTATAATAAAAGTCCGAATCAACAAAAATTTAAGAATAAGGGGTTTCAATCAAACTAAAATAATAATAATAATAAATAAATAAATAAAAAGAGTCTCAATATAAAAAAAGAAAGTAAAGAATACAAGGTCTGATGTGGGGTAAATCCTTATATTTATTTTGGAAAAACTAGTTGTATTATTTAACAGTAAAATTATTTTGTGTCCCTACACTAGAATTGAGCTCCATATTGCAGGTAAAAATGAAATAAAAATAGAGTTATCCATTTTTTGGTGTAAAACTGGATCTAACTAATTGAAAATTGTTCCCCTTCACCCTTAAAGGAAAATGAAAAGGCAATAACAAAAAACAAAAGAAAGAAATCTTCAAAGACGGGAGATAATAATATTGGGTATACTGGCTTATAACTTTTAACGGAGGGCACTTGAAAGCTATTGTCCTAAGTCTTCCATTCCATCGTAAATTCGCAATGATAGAATATAAGACGGTCCATGATATGATGTAGAGTTAATTATAATTTAGTCCATATAGTTTAACAAAACAAATTAACTACTCCTTTTTGTTTTAAAAGCTGTATATTTGATCCCTATGTTTTTAAATTCATTTACTACGTAGCCTTTATCAAATTTAGGTTCCTTTTCAATTTCTATTTTGTTTTTATTCTTTTTTTTTTCTGAAAAGAGAAAAAATAAAAAATAAATAGTTAATATGGGAAAATTTTACTAGATAATAAGGGAATTTAGGGAGAAGAAACTTCGAAATAGAGGATGGTCAATACTTATCAAAGAATCATTTAAGCATTTTTTTTAAACTAAAAGTACTAAACAATTATTGTTAATAAACTAGCAGGACTAAGTTATAGTAATTTTTATTGGACGGACATAACTGTAATTAAAAAATAGGTGTACCTTAGGTACCTACTAGATAGTACCCCACGTAAACCGCTCTGTCATTCACTCTTGCAGACAGAGCTCATTGTTCTTTCCTCGGTAGGTCCGTTCATGGTATTATTGTACAAGGAGAAATACTTGTATACGTACACAACAGCATAGCAATAAGGTAGTGCTGCTTTGCCATTGAATTCTTTTCTTTATTAGTAATAGAAAAACATGAGAGAAACTTCGTTCATTTCAAAGCAATCAAAAAGGTTGATTTAATAAAGTTTGAGACCCAAAAGAGAATTTCTAACACAGGACTGCTGGGTTTATTTTGCAGCTGAAATATGGATTCTGGTTCAAATGGAGAGGAGCCCGCTTCGTGGGAAGAGCTTTACAATATCAATTTGATACCATCGGAGTTGTTTCTCAAGTTCAGAAAGGAAATTGAGGGGATTCGGGTTGGTGTCAATTTAGAGGTATAATTTTAATTTCGTGCCTCTTTTTTTGCTAGCCAAAATATAGAGTACGTGTTGGCAAAATGGATTATTTTGGATATTGCTAGGTTTTCTTATGCTATGTTTTAAATTTATGTGTGTGGTAAATGATCAATGAGAGTGAAAATGTAAAGTGGAAGCAAGATGGGATTTTGGTCAAGGAAACATCCTGTTGCCAGCTTAGTTTTTTTTTTTTTTCTTTTTTTTTTCCTCCTAATCCTTTGCTGGAAATGTAACATTGTGATCATGAAGGTTTTGAACTTTAAAGTGGAACCTTAAACTTTGGTGAGTTTGTATTGGTTGGAAAACTTGACGGGTTGGTGCGTAACAAAAGGAAATAAATAACTGATCCACAATCCTGTTAGAGGGATGGATATTGGTAATTTGCCAAATGAACACTTGAACCATATAGATATTCCTGTTATCCTTTCAGTTGGGATTGAATGGATTTCCTTTTTTTTTTCTGATGATGATGAATACATGTCTATATTGGCTGTGCATACTTAATTCTTTGCTGTTGTTTCTATGCTGTGCTATATGTGCTTGCTTGATCTGTTATCTGTCTGGTTGTGATCTTGATTCAGTTCTATAATGCTCCAATCAATGAATTCCAAGGCAAGATTGTTCTGAAACCCTTATCCCCTGACCGGAGGTGGAAATTCATATGTGAACCAATACATCAGGATGTCCGCATTCTTTCAAAGAAGATTCCTGTCACCAAGTTTCTAAATCTTCAGGTCTGATTTGATTCTTTTCCGCATCTTGTGGATTTTAGCATGTAGTGGCTGGCTGGTTAGTTTTCGAAAAGAATAGCTTGTGGTTTGGATAATTTATTGGTTGTTGAACTCAGATGTATGCATTTTTGTGTTAATTGGATTCGTAACTCTTGGAAATATAGGTTGGCATAGGCCATAATTTTCAGTTGCATGCTACTGGTTGGAAATGGAAGCTTACAACTTGTTTCGGTGGAGATGGCATATCTAGGCTTCGGAATAAGACATCTCTTGGGCTGTTCCCTGGCATGGATTTGCGGTTTGGGTGGAGGGCAGATTATGTTCTTCCAGAACTTACTGGGCAAGTTCCTGTATTTTCCATGCAGTTGTTCATGGAGTACTTTATCATTAAAGTGCTGCTGCTGCTTAAGAAACTAAATTTGAATAACTGTTTCTCATGTCAGGGTTATATGCTAAATTATTTAATTTGCTGCAGTGGTTTACTTTTTCTCATGCCATGGCTCATGGATGAAACCTTACATCTTTCAGGGCTTTGGGTACCAGTGAGCCATTGTTCAACATGAACTCAGGACGACTGCAAGCATCACTAGATAGAGTTGAGGCCATTCTAACCCATCCGTCATGATTGGGACTAGTCAAGAAGGTAGAGTTGCCTATTCTTATCATTTATCCTAGTCATCTGATTTCTCACTGATTTCTGTAGAACATGAAATGCTTTAGTTTTTTGTATTTCAGGAACATCAATGACCACTCTACTTGTTCTTTGGAGTTATTATTTGTTGCTACTAGCAGCTTATGATATGAGCAATTTTTTGTCTTTTCTCAACATTAATGACCATTTCTTTGGGAGTATTGTTAACTAGCCTATGGTATGAGCACATTTACTATTTGAGTAGACTTGTCATTGTGCCTTGCTAATATCAAATCCTTCCAAGTCTGGTTTAGGCGAAGTTTGTGCATCTCATTACTTGTGTGAACATGCTGGAGTAAGTTGGGTTATATTATTAGTGCCAGGAGAGAAAAATATTGAAAAACTATTAGTGGTAAGAGACAGAATGAAGAAAGAAATTAGGAAAGTGTGTCTTCTGAGGACTGAAGTAGACAGAAACAAAATAGCAGAAATAATATAGCCCACTATCAACAAAAGTGTGCTCTTATGCTCAATTGAAATTGTCAGTTCCTAAACAAAATGTGTTTCAAGAAAATTAGTAAAATGGAATTCATGCTTTAATTCTTGCCATGTGGGTATGGAGAGCATAATGGTAGAGGAAATGAGTTATGGAGGTTTCTCCAAGCAGTCCACATTAGTAGTACAGATATGCATCTGCAATGATATGTTGGATATCGATGATTCTGCTATTATAAGAGCGTCAATTTTGGGTATAATGTCCTAGAAATTTGGATTTGTCTTAGAGAGTTGTGCTTAAGGGGGTTTGTTAGCACCTAGGAAAATGGCAGTACCAGTATTGAGAAGGCAAAGGACAAGCATGGAGAGCAAAAGAAAACGCTGCGTCTAGATGGGTGATACCCCAGATCAAGAGGAAAAAAGATGGATACCCCATCCTTTTAGTTTATAATTGTTATTGGCTATACCATTAATTTGTAGTTGAAAAGCCAAATTTTCATCTTCTTGTTTCTGTATATCATCACCTGCTTAATGTATGGGTAGTGAACTCTTTAAAGCTTGTTTGGGAATTGCTCATTGCCCTAGTTTTAGCCACTTAAAAAGCAATCTTGTTCAAGAGTTGTGACTTCTCTATTGACTAATAAGAGACTTCTGTTTTCAACTAAACCTATAGAAATAAAAGACAGTCTCGAGAAAATTAAGGAGGACAACCAGGGCAATTTCATTATAAAAGTTATTCTTTTAGTTAAACAGATATGGGGACGTGGGGATTTTATATATGAAATTATAACTTCAGGGTCTAATCAGAGACTTGTGTTAAAATTTATTTGATAATTTAAATACCGTAAACCCTAGTAGACTCCTGGTGGTGAGAAATGGGAGAACTTTTATGGTTGATTCTTTAAATAATTTTGTATGTTGCCCATTTTCCTGTACAGAACTTCAGATTGGCAGGAAAAGGATGCTCAGCATGCATGAAATTTGAAAGACTCGACCATTGAGAGATTTGCTATCATTTGACCACTGATTGGGACGCAGGAGTAAAATAGCGAAGCAAATATTCAATATTCCTGGAGATTTAAGAAGATTGCTTTCACGTAGCAGTTATGTCCTTCCTTTGCCCTTTTCTTATTGGACTATAAATGGATGTACAGATGCAGGGCTTTGCTATATATATATATATATATATGAACACATTGAGGCTCATGCAATATTACAACCCTCATATCTGCATTCATTTTTCAATTGAAAATACATTTTAGGCTGCGCTAGAAGCCCTGACATCGTCATTACTTGTATCTGCAATCAAGATGGTGTGGGTTCTTGCCTTGTCACCAGTTTCGAAAGAGGCCCCCTTGTATAGTGTTGCAAAATTTCCTGGTAAGAAAGATAAGAAAGAAGCAAGAAGGCAAGCTAGAAAAGTTGTGCAGATGAGAAGCACCAATGAATTTGTGGTACAAAGGAGAGGGAATGCAGAAAGCTATTTTGTATGATTTGCAACGCGAGGGTTGTTAATCAATGGGATTACTTGCAATTCAGCTACATAACAAATCAATTTGTGCAAAATTAACCTCCCTTTTATCATGTGTGGAAGCAAGTAATTCCCTAGCAAAACAGTGGGGTTCATGATTCTCCGAAAATGAATTTTTATTCTCTGGAGTTTAAACAATTGGTTTTTGATTCAATGGTAATGGTATTATTGGACTAGTTTGTGAATAAATTGAGATTAAATTTTCTGATGTATTTTTTATATTGATTTAATGTATTTAAAAAAATTTGTTCTTCTAAGTGTTGATTTCAAAATTCAAACTCGAGAAGTCAATAGACAAGAGTAAATTGCTCTCTTTTTTTCTTTTCTTTTTTTTTTTTTTATAATCTGACCAATTCTTTAGAGTTAACTATTTTTTTTTTAAGTGAATTACTATGATTTAAATTAAAAATTGATTATTGGATACCTAAAATAAATTGCAACGCTCTAAAAACTAATCGCACCTCAATATTAATTTACCTCTATAAATTGAATATTCTTACCGTTTGGAATTTGTTGTTAGCGCATTCAAAAATAAATTGCAATTCTCTGAGATTGATTTTTTTACGTTCTGGAAGTCAATTTCAGTATACCGGTAAAATTATTGCAATTGATTTTTTTAAGGAGAACGTTTTTTTCTTGCAATGTATGTAATCGTCTATTTCATTTATAAAAATATTTTGTCATTTTTATTTGACAATAAATTTAATTTTACTATATGTTAAAACAAATACAATCAAATATACAGGTAAAATGCACTTGAGGTCATAGCCTAGCGGAACGAGGGCTTACCCCATGAGCACCACTTGGGTTCGACTCTCTATGCGCATGCCTGTCACCCCCATGATGCCTTACATGTCTACTCGGGTTTATAGGGTGTTCAATGGGCTCCAAGGATTAATCGAGGTGCGCGTAAACTAGCCGGACGTCTCGGATTAACAAAAAAAAAAATAGTATACAAGTAAAATGGTTATAAATCATAACTTAAATTTTTTTTTTTATTTTGATTACTTCTTTAATAATATTATATTATTGAAAACTCTTGAAAAAATGTCAAAGAAAAAAAGGAATAAAACATTGAATCGTATATAGTAATATTTATATATTTATATTTTAATGTTATAAAAATAATTAGATTCCGAGAAAGACTTTGGCCTCTCTCTAAAAATATAGAAAACTAGTTAACAACATCAAACGTGTATTTGTTTTATTTATTTAATGTTTTTTTTAATTTTTATTTATTTTTGAATTTTCATTAATGTGATTCTTTTGACTGTTTTTCAACTAATTTTCTTTTATTCAAACTGACGTATGGCATGAAAAATTGCTACGTGAGAAAAAATTAACATAAAAAACTCTAAAAAATAGAAAAAAAAATCCCAACTAAAAACACAAAAACAATGTTTCTCAATCCATCACCTTCTTTGTACCAGAAAAACAGAAGAAAGAGTAAGAGATGGTAACTGGCTAATTCCTCGTCAGCCACAACGACTCCATCGAGGATTGTCGTTTTAGATGGTTTCATTCTTTGAATTTGGGTTCTAGTTAGCTCTCTCTCTATTTTTTTTTTGGTTAATCGCATAAATAGAATAAAGCTTACTTCTCTATCTAACAAATTGAGAGAGAGAGAAAAGGAGAGAGTATAATTCAATAGTTTTAACAAAAGTTTTGCCCTTTTTTTTTTTTTTTTTTTTTGTTAGAAGAAGCATTAGTAATGCCGGTACAGAAGTTGGCATTGTTTACGACTTAGATAGGCAGAGAGATTAAGTGCGAGAGAAATTTTTTTTCCTTTCTCTATTTTTTTTTCTTTTATATATATACACATACCACTTCTAACAAAACTAATCGACTAGAATTTAAACCTATAAATTCTTATAAGAGATTATTACCACCGGGAGGAGTGAGCAAACGGTTCAATTAACCGAAAACCAAATCAAACCGAATCGAATTATATATTTTAATTTGATTTTAAACTTAAATTTGTAAAATTAAAAACCGAATCGAAAAACTAAAATTATTTCGAGTTTGGTTTTTGAAAAAAAAATCGGTTTCCACCGAAACTCAAAAAAATAAAAAATAAAAAATAATTCCTAAATACTAACTCCCTAAAACCCTAACGAGCTAACTTCACTAAATCAAAATCAATTTTCGGTCGCACCTCCTTGGCTCCCCATCCTTCGTTCCTTCTTCTCCAGTTCTCCTTCATCATCGGGCCTTCTACCTCAATAAGATAGCAAGTGCAACACACTCAACACCAATCTCTCTCTCTCTCTCTCTCTCTCTCTCTCTCTCTCTCTCTCTCTCTCTCTAGCTCTCTATCGTCGTCCTTCAATCTCACCAATCACCCACCACCCTTCTCCTCTTACAATTACGTGGAGTACCCTCGTCAATGAGTGGATTGCTGAAATAAATCTACCAGCGGCCCAAATCGCAATGGGGATGGGTATTACTCTCGACAAATTTCGGGTATGCGACTAATGGATCCACAATTTCAACAAGGCATTTTCCTTTAACCATTAAATATATGTTCTTTGGTATTGTTATTTACACTTCTTATTTAATTATAGATAAGATGATTTTATGGAATGGAACGTGATGGACGTTATGATGCATGGAGGAAAACTTCATTGGTTGCCACCCCTTTTGATTTTGACAAGGTAGAGTCCATAAAGCCAAAAGGTCATTTTGTAGCTGTGCATGTGACGAGTGAGGATCCGGATGATAGGTTTAAGCCTACAAGCGAAAAAGCACAAGTAAGCCTCTTGGGGTCTTGACCGAGTTATACTCGAAGGATGAAGCTCATTAATTTGTTATACACCCATATCGAGCTACATAGCCTTGTCCCATTTTTATCGTCATTTTTTTTTTACAATAAATGATGAAAATTGTGGTTTTTTATTTGACTCGTTGCACAAACAAACTCGGTTTGCCCAAAGAATTTATTTCGCCGGACTTAGTTAACCTAACTAAA